GTTCTCCTTCCCTTGCCAAGGAGAGAGGAGCAAATGGTTTTAGGCACGGGTTTTGGCCATTAATGTCAGGCTAGTGGGGCGGGGGTCATTTGGTTCTAAGTTTTTCAAGGTTCCATAGCTACCCCCAAAGATGTTTGGTTTTTTGTTTTTTTACATGTGGGGTTTTATCTCTGCCACCCTTGTTGAAAGTCTATACAGTTGCCATCGGTGGGTCGATCGCCAGGTTGTGGGATCTACATCTGTCCTGGCACTCTGCTGGCAATAGGTGGGACAGCCTGAGCCACCTTGGGCTTAACTGCTGGCCTGGAGTTCTTTCCGTGCTCCTTGACCACTCAGCTGCCTCGGATTCCATTTGTTCCTCTCTTTCCTGCAAGGTTTCCTTTTACGTTTTATTTTAATCCCAAACATCTGAATGTTTTGCAGTGTGTAGGGGTTTGAGCCCCTTGTTCTTCATTCTACATCCTTTTTCTGCCTTCTTCCCTCTCCATGGAGTGATTATGTTGACAATAATGTATACTGCGCGTTCTCTTCACTGGTTTATCTGCAGAAATTTCTCTGGGCTTTTTTTCGGTGTTTGATTCAACACTGCCCTAAAGGGGGGATGTTCCATTGAATAAAAGAGCAGTGTGGTTTTCTGGGTCTGCTTATTTATTTTCTTGTCACGTAAACCACCTCTACCGGCAGCGGCAGCACCAAACTTGCCTGCCTGCGTCCGGCACCTGGCCCCAGTCCGCTTCTCCCCAGGGTGAAACCGTGGGGCGTTAATTAAGGAAGCCTACCGCCTGCATCCCTGCGTGGGCTCCACCACCTGCCCCTTGTTTACTAGTTAACATAGCTGAGAACCAGGTTTCCCCCGCCTTGGTCACCCGTTAGCTCTTTAGTCTCTGTCTTTTCGAAGGCCTTTTCCTGGGGCTGGGACCCCTGCATCTGATGAGCTCCAGTTGTGATCTGTGCCTGGAAGCTGCCACCTGACCAAGGCCCTGGGCCTGGGGAGGCATCAGCACTAAAGGTCAAGCCAACTAATCCTGCCTGTCAGGCACAGAGCAGCTAAAATTAAAACCGCCAAGTGGCTTTTTTCTTTCTCTCCTGGTGACTTGCAGCCCGCCCAGCACTGTAGGCTTTAGGGAGTGGTGGGGGCAAGATAACGTGGCCCACCTTTTGCTTTGCAAGCACCTTGCCAAAGGGTTTTAGGCTGAGTTTCTTTCATGTCTTGGGCAGTGGATACTAGCCATTGTGGCACAAGAAGAGCCCATGTGAAGTCTCCCCGAGGTAGTGAGGTCCTCACCTAGCTGCTGCTGTTGCTTGGTTGCGCCACCCCTGGGGTGAACTGCCCTGCTTCCCAGCCACCCCTCCTTCCTCTAGGGGGTACAAGCGCCCCCTCGCAACTGGCCACTGGGGCAAGCAACTGGCCTGGCTGCTTTCCAGTTTTGAGCTGGGACTGGCTACTGCTGTTGACCGGAGCGTCTGGTCGCTCTCCAGGATGCCTGTGCTGCTTTGCTGTGGGCCTGCAGGGCTTAAGGAACCCTCAGAAACAAGGCAAGTTCCCTGGGTTTCCCTAACTGAGGTTGACTAAGATCTTTTCCTTTTGTCCTTAACTGATGGAATGGGGGCAGGGCCTGGGGCCTGGCTACCCTCTTTGACCTTGGCTCCCCCTCACTGCTTCCCCTACAAGCTTGGTTTCCCTGGTGGGCTCATTGGGCGGTTAATTAGCTCTTTGAAGCTCTGGAAGCAGCAAAGTGGCGCTATGTGGGTTTTAGAAATAAAATCAATAAATGACTTAACCACAGCCCAGCTAGCTTCTCCAGTCTCGCTCCCCTGAGGCCAGCTCCATGCCTGTGCTCCCTCCCTCTCTGGTCCCTGCCGTCAGCTTTTGTTATGGTTTTGGAGAGAAACGAAGTGGCTGACTAAGGCATCAGTCTCCCATGCTCCAGGCCCTGAAGTAGAAGAGACAGCAGAAAGGCTTGGCCGTGGGAACTGCAGCAAGCACCTGCCTTTGTGGCAGAATTGGGGAGAGATGGGAAATGCTTGCCCGCCTGTCTTAAGACACCCAGGGCAGGGGAAAAGGCCCTTTACCCGTCATATTATGTTGTGACAGGGCTGTTCCTGCTGCTGCAGCAGTGTCCCCACCCCCTCAGAGCCCACGAGAGGAATGCCAGTTGGGAAAGGTCAGCATTAGGGCTCTGTTACTGATGCCCAGCCCAGTGCTCCGGAGCAAGCCAGCTTGGTCCAGGGAAGAGGCCGGGTTTCTGGTAGAAACGCAGACAACCTTGAGGGCAGTTCAGGTTGGGAAAGTGCTTTTAGGGTTCCTTAAAATATATAGCTGGGGGGTGAAGGAGGGTGGGGCAAATGGGGAAACAGAAGCAGGTCAGTTTGAATAAGGTTTGGTCATGCTGGGCTGGACATACAAATAATGAGGTGGCCCCTGGGGTGGTGTCACCCTGGAAAAAGGCCAGAAGCACTATAGGGGCCGCAAGCACAACCAACAAGAAAGACAAGTCAAAGCACCATGCATTGCCCAGTAGGAAGTGTTCTGGGACTGCAGCACGGGCCTGAGTGCAGGAGGGAGAGTGCTGAATTGACAGGAGAGGGGGCCTTGGCTGGCAGCTGGGAAAGAACCGAAGTGACTCAGTCTGCCGATAAGAAGATGGGGATGGTCTCCTGGGATCAGGCCCTCGGTGGTAGGAAGATAGGCTTGCAGGCAATAGGGGCAGTGCAAAGGTTTGTGTGGGCAAAACATGCCACCCCAAATGGGGTGTGAGGTGGCAGTATAGCCAACCAGCAGCCAGTTGCCCAGAGGTGACTGCCAGGAGTGCAACTCTCTCAGGGACAAGTGCAGGCCGGGGGAACCTCAGATGCCAGGCTCAGCCAGGGATTCTATGCTTGGTGGAAGGTGGGGCATGAGCTGTGAAGGGGAAGAGATCTGAGAGCCACCAGCATTCTTTGTTTTTCTATTTTAAGAGAGAATCTCTGTGGCCTAGGCTGGAGTGCAGTGGCACGATCACAGCTCACTGCAGCCTCCAACTCCTGGGCTCAAGGGATCCTCCCGCCTCAGCCTCCCAAAGCACTGGGATTACAGGCCTGAGCCACCGCACCCAGCTTCTTTCTTGAAATATGGTTTATAAAAAACTTTTTTAAAAAAAGAAATTGGAAATTACAGAAAAATCAAAAAGGTTTTTCATATTTCCACTAACTATATCTGTGGAGGTGTATTTTGGGGATTTCTTGGTCTTTTTCTCCACTTGGATGCCTAGCCAGTTGGTGATGCCCTGGGGGCAGGGTGGAGCAGGGCTGGGGAGTAGAGTCAAAGGCCTGGGTAGGCAGGACTTGCAGTGTGGCCCCCACTGAGCAGTTAATTCCAGGGCTGGGTCTGCTGTGGCCCAGAAAGTCCTAGAAAACAACTTGGCCTTCCCCAAACCAGGCTCTCAATAGCATCCTGCAACTGTCCAGGCCTCTGACCTGCTTCCTTGGCCCTCAGCACAGAACACCCAGTTCCTCCCCTCAACCAGCCCACCACCCCAGGCAGGCCCAGGCAGCCTTGGAAATAGCCCAAGGTCCTGGGTTCCTTCTGCTCAAAGAACAAAGCAGAATCCAAAGTCTGCCCCCACAAGATTAGGAGGCAACAGTTGATGAGGCAGGGATTTATATTCTCATTTGACAGTATAAATTTGATGAAGGAATCCAAGGCTCAGAAAGGTAAAACAACCAGCCGAAGGTCTCACAAGTCAGGGCCAGAGCCATGACATGAGCAGTGAATGGGGGCAGCTTTGAGCCAAAGCCTCAAAAGGAAGGGCCTGAAGCTGCCAGGGCACACAGGAATGTCAAGTCCCCAAGATGCAATTTGGGAGGCCAAGGGAGGAGGGTCACTTGAGGCCAGGAGTTCAAGATCAGCCTGGGCAACATAGTGAGACCTCCGTCTCTACAAAAAATAAATTAGCTGAGTGTGGTGGTTTGAGCCTATAGTCCCAGCTACTCAAAAAGCTCAAGCAAGAGGATCTCTTAAACCCAGGAGTTTGGGGCTGCAGGGAGCCATGATCACGCCATTGCATCCCAGCCTGGGACAGAGTGAGACCCTGTATAAAAAAAAAAAAAAAAATCACTGAGGAGCTGTGAGCCATGGCCCCAAGGGGAGGAGGGAGTGAGAAAAGGCCTCCAATCACTCCTCAAGCAGTGAGATTGCAGGGAGGGCAGAATATCATGCATCAGTATTATGTGTGGGTGGGAAATGCCTCAGTTTCTCCCACCCCTCTGGGGCCACAGGACTACAGTTCCCAGGGGCCCCTGTTCTAGGCTGGAGGCCTCTAGCCAAAGCTGGCCTGTAATCTGACCATCCCTCTTGAAAAGGTCACTTCAGAGCTCCTTGAGGGACAGCAACAGGGGGAGCTCAGAGCGGCGTTGGTGGGGGTGGGGTGAGGAAGTGGCCCTGCCTCAGACAACCTCCCCTCCAACACCCCTTGGCACTCAGGGTCCTGGTCCCCCTTCTCGCAGACACCCAGTGTCCTGGTCCCCCTTCTCGCAGACACCCAGTGTCCTCTGCGAGCTGCACCTCTTCTGTGCAGGGCACACTGACCCCTCAGCCTGCAGGGGGACCTGCCACAACACATGGACTTCCCACCCCAGTGCAGCTACCGACGGCTCCCCAATGCAGCACTCTACCTACTGCGTTTGTCTCCAACCCTGCAAAAGGCAGGGACAAGGGACAGAAGGCAGAAGACCTGGAGGAAGTAGGTCAGCACAGGGCCGTGAACAAGCCAGGCTGGGTTGGCCTGGCCCTATGGAGCTAGTCCCTCCCTCCCTTCTCCTCTGCTCACCCCCAAAATAGATCCCTGAGCTGCCAGGCCAAGACCCTCCCATTGCAGGCAGAGGCGGGGCATGCTGCCCAGAGCCAGGCTTTAAATCCCCTCAGGGCTGGGGAGCTCCACTCCCTGGCTGGAGGCACCGCTGAGGCCACTGTCCCCTCGTCCGTCCATCCATCCATCCGTCTGGCCTGCCCTCCCGCAGCCATGTCCCGGCCCCTGTCAGACCAGGAGAAGAGAAAGCAAATCAGCGTGCGTGGCTTGGCCGGCGTGGAGAATGTGACTGAGCTGAAGAAGAACTTCAACCGGCACCTCCACTTCACACTCGTAAAGGACCGCAATGTGGCCACCCCGAGAGACTACTACTTTGCGCTGGCCCACACCGTGCGCGACCACCTTGTGGGCCGCTGGATCCGCACACAGCAACACTACTATGAGAAGGACCCCAAGGTGCTACTGGGGACACCCTGGGTGGGGTATGGGCTGGGCGTCCTGCCAGGGAGCTGGGAGGTCTGGAATAAGTGGCTGCCCCTGGTCACTCCAGGTTCCTGGGGTTGGAGGATCCAGGCGTGCCAGGTGCAGGGGGTGCTGGGACAACCCAGGCGAGAAACCCGGGGTGAGGGCAGGTCTCAGGGCTCCAGTCAGGTGGGCTGGTTGCAAAGGCCCAGCGCCCACTCAGAGAAGGGTAGAGGGCCCGGTGGTGGACAGGACGATGCCTGTGGCTGGGGTTGGACCGGGTGGAAGGACATGTCAGTCACTGGATGTGTTCCCGATGTGCCTGTGCAGCAGGTGGGTGGGGCTGGGGCATCTGAGGCGGCAGGGATCAAGTGTCTGGTGGGATCACTGGTAAATGTCAGCAACCCAACACCCCACCGTGGGGCGTGGGGGAGGGGCGGGAGGCAGGGCAGGGAGAAGACCCGGGAAACAGGGAGACCAGGCACTATCAGCATCCTGGCTCCAGGTGCCTCTGGGTCCCCCTCTTGGGACTGAGGCTTGAGGGCCAAGGGAACTGGGCTGTGCAAGCAGGGGAGGTGGTAATCTCTAGCCCTGAGTCACTGCGTGACCTTGAGCAAATGACTTTTTTCTCTGGGCCTTGGCCTTGTTCTCTTGGGGAGTACTTGGAGGTGCTTCTCTGTCCTGACTCCCTGATGGGCTGTTGGGAGGCATGTGCATGACAGAAGGGTTTCCCACCTCTCCTGAGCACCTCGATCCCTGAGGTAGGTATAGCCAGCTCCATTTTCCAGATAAAGAAACTGAGGCCAGAGAAGAAAGTGATTTTCCCAAAGTCAGAGGAATGCTGGGATCAGAACCTTATCTGTTGGGCCCCAAAGTCTGAGATGGTTCCTCTGAGAGGGGAGGAAAAAGTTGGGGACAGGGATGGGACATGCTGGGGCCCAAGAGTAAGGCAGGAGGGTGAGAGGTCCAGGCCCACTTGGGCCTGGTTGAATGTTGGTGGGTGGCCCTGACCCCTCCCTGCCCCTCTGTCTCCCTGGGCAGAGGATCTACTACCTGTCTTTGGAGTTCTACATGGGACGGACGCTACAAAACACCATGGTGAACTTGGCCTTGGAGAATGCCTGCGATGAGGCCACCTACCAGGTGTGTGGGGGTGGGGGGCGGGGCAAGCCTGAGGGATTGGGGGATTCCCCTTCTGGCACTTGGCCCTGACCACTGCCGCCCCTCCCCCTCCAGCTGGGCCTGGACATGGAGGAGCTGGAAGAAATCGAGGAGGACGCAGGGCTGGGCAATGGGGGCCTGGGCCGGCTGGCAGGCAAGTACACAGGGCTGTGGGGGGGGGGGCAGAAGGGTTCCTTTGTGCTGGGTCCCTGACACCCACCTCCCTGCACACCCCCAGCCTGCTTTCTGGACTCCATGGCAACACTGGGCCTGGCTGCCTATGGCTACGGGATTCGCTATGAGTTTGGGATTTTTAACCAGAAGATCTGCGGGGGCTGGCAGGTGAGCAGCCTTGGCCCTGACCTTGTGGGGCCCCGTCATGATGGAGAGGACCCCCATTTGGTTATCCATCTCTGGATAGGCCCAGAACCAGCCCAAAGCTCTGCAGAAAGCATCCTCGCCCCTTCCCCATCCCCCAAAGCCAGCTGGTGACCCCTGGAACAGGTGGCCCACCTGTGGACTTCTTGGGACACATCACGTCCCAGTGAATAGCCAACAGACCAGGGGCTGGCCCACCTCAGAGCCCTTAATTCACACATAGTATGGGGTACACCGGGGCCACTGCTCCTGCTCTGCCCCGCCGCCCACCGTGGCAGGACTACCAGGCTCTGACGTGGCTCTCTTCCTCCCCTGGCCTGCCTTGGGCCCAGATGGAGGAGGCTGATGACTGGCTTCGCTACGGCAACCCCTGGGAGAAGGCCCGACCCGAGTTCACACTGCCTGTGCACTTCTATGGCCGAGTGGATCACACCAGCCAGGGGGCCAAGTGGGTGGACACACAGGTGAGCACAAAGCCAGGGTCGGGGTGGGGGCCCAGGGGGTTCCTAGAGGAAGCAGGAAACAGGGAAAGAGTCAGGAGGTTATTGGACCCAGTGCTGTTTTACAACTGAGGACGCCGAGGCTCAGAGAGGCTAAGTGCCTTACTCAAGGTCACACAGCTGGAGCCAGGAGAGACTGGAGAAAGGGCCACAGGGGAGCCTGAGAGGAAGAGAGGGGCTGCCCTGCTCCACAATGCCCCTCCCCTGACTTGGCTCCTCCCCATAACACAAGACTCACTGGAGGACCAGTATGGTGACTCGATTCTGCAGCAGCCCAGAGAGGTGGGCAGGGGAGACAATGAAAGCCTGGAGTGAGGAATTCCCTTGTCACGAAGCAAGCTAGGGGATCCTAAAGCCAAACGAGGTGTCCAAATCCCAGTTCATTCATTCCTCTTGCCGTGGCTGCAGGTCACCAGCCTCCAAGATGGGCTGCACAAAAACAGCTAGGCTTTCAGCACTGGGCATTTGTTTACTGTCATCCGGGCTAAGGCCCTGTGGGGCTGCTGGCAGCACATGCCAGGTGCACACGGCAGCCTGGCTCAAGCAGCTCTGGCTAGAAGGTGCGGCCACCCGGCTGTGTGCTCTTGGATTGGTCCCTTCCCTCTCTGGGCTGCAGCTCTGGCTGTGCTCCAATCAAGGGTGACTAAGTGTGAGGAGGGAGGGCAATGGCCCTTCAAAGGGCTCCCTTGGAGGAGCGCATGTGCCCCCGCACTGTGGTACCAGGCAGTTATTGGCAGCAGTTATTGATGTTTGCTAATTGTGGGAGGCGGGGCCAGCATTAGTCACTGCTAATTAGCCCTGTGGTCAACCAGGCGTAAGAGCTTTGGATAGACTAGGCCTCTGTGACTCCTTCAGCCTGGCCCCAGGTCCCCCCAGCCCTCTCCAGAGTCCAAAGTGTCTCTAGCTTTTGCTCAGGCCAGGGTGGCCAGCCCAACCCCTCAGTGCAGAGTGGCCACCAACAGAGCCCCACCTTGGGCTCTGGGTGTGTCACTCTGCTCCTCTCATAATGTTTGCAACGGTCAGACAAGGCAGGGGTTATGGGTGTCTGGGGGAGATATTGGGGAGTGTCTTCTCTATAGATGAGGTCCAGAGAGGCTATGGGTTTGCTCATGGTTACCCAGCTCGTAAATGTCAGCGCTGGGACTAGAGCCGTGTTGGGACTCGGCAGAGTGAAGGGACAAAGTCTTGAGTCCTAGCCCTGAGCGGATGGAGGCCCCATGAGTCAGATACAGGCAGATACCAGGGCTGGCACCCTTGGCAGACTGTCCAGCTCCTGATGAAGTGTGCCCTGCAGGTGGTATTGGCTATGCCCTACGACACACCCGTGCCTGGCTACCGCAACAACGTTGTCAACACTATGCGCCTCTGGTCGGCCAAGGCGCCTAATGACTTCAACCTCAAAGACTGTGAGTTCATCCGCTGGTAGCTAGCAGCCCCAGCCTGCCCACCGGCCACACTCAGCCCAAGCCTGACCCTGTCCTTACTTTCGTCCCGCAGTCAACGTTGGTGGCTATATCCAGGCTGTGCTGGACCGCAACCTGGCGGAGAACATCTCTCGTGTCCTGTACCCCAATGACAACGTGTGTCACCCCCTGGGCTGGGGGCAGAAGCCTGAGTCCTCGGGAGGGGGTCAGGGAGAGCTGGGAAGGGACAGGTGCTGGTGCCCTAGTCACACCTAGGGCATATTGCTGGCCTTGTACCTCCTGTCTCCCCACCCCAAGTTCTTTGAGTGGGAGGACACCTGAGTCCTGAGGGGAGGTGGACTTGGAGGCACTGTCCCCTGGTGGCACCCACAATACTCTTGGTCCTTGTGTCCCACTCTTCCTGATGCTGTCCCCCACCACTACTTCTTGGTGGGAGAAAGACCCCTGTGTGCTAGAGGTGGGGCCAGTTCAGGGCCCAGGGGGCCTGGTCGGTCTGGCCACACCCATAGCGGCTCTAGGCCACACCCCTGGCACCTTGCCTCACCTGTCTCATGCTGTCCCCAGTTCTTCGAGGGAAAGGAGCTGCGGCTGAAGCAGGAGTACTTTGTGGTGGCCGCCACCCTCCAGGACATCATTCGTCGCTTCAAGTCCTCCAAGTTCGGCTGCCGTGATCCCGTGCGCACGAACTTCGATGCCTTCCCAGATAAGGTGCTGTGTCCGAGGGATGGGCCACGCTCTGCACCTGGACAGTGTGTGCCATCGCCTCTCCCCTCCAGCCTCAGCCTGCCCCACCCCGTCTCACAGATGAGGGAGTGCAGGCTGGGAGCGTGTGGTTGTGACTTCTCAGGATCCTCAATCAACAGGCACATAACCTGGGCTTCCTGCCCTTCTCCTGCCCCACCTACTGCCCCCATGAGCACCTGCACCCCGAGCTCAGCCTTACAGCCATGTGGGGCTCTCTGGGGGGGCTCTAAAGTGGCAAGGGACAATGACCATAGTGCTTGGGGTGAAGCCAAGACTGACTTCCGGTCCCCTCCCACAGGTGGCCATTCAGCTCAATGACACCCACCCCTCTTTGGCCATCCCTGAGCTGATGAGGATCCTGGTGGACCTCGAGCGGCTGGAGTGGGACAAGGTGGGCTTCAGGACCCTTCTACCTTTCTGATGCTCTCTGCTGCAGGGTTCCCTTCCCTTCCCAGTTTGGGGGGTGGAAGGGTATGAATGCAGTGAACAGACGGGAGTGTGAGGCCAGAGGGGTGTGCCCCGGAACCTGGCAGTGGCAGGCCTAAGGGCCGCAGTATGTATGGAGAGCCATCGGGCTTAGGCCAAGTCCTCACTTCCCACCCGTATGCCAGGCGTGGGAAGTGACAGTGAAGACCTGCGCCTACACCAATCACACGGTGCTGCCCGAGGCCCTGGAGCGCTGGCCGGTGCACCTTCTGGAGACACTGCTGCCGCGGCACCTCCAGATCATCTACGAGATTAACCAGCGCTTCCTTAACGTGAGTCGTGAGGCGCGATTCAGGAAGGCGTGGGCGCGGGGGAGAGTGGGAACCGAGGCTAGAGCCTGGAGTAGGGGCATGGAAGGGGTGTCCAGCCAGGGTCCCGAGACTGGCACAGTGAGTGCTGGGTTATGGGTGCTGGCTCCGGGGTTATGGAGCTGGGGACTGGGGTTCCTGGATACTGGTCCTAGCTCTGGGCTCTCTGGACACAGCGGGTGGCGGCTGCATTCCCAGGGGACGTAGACCGGCTGCGGCGCATGTCCCTCGTGGAGGAGGGCGCGGTGAAGCGCATCAACATGGCACACCTGTGCATCGCAGGTTCCCACGCCGTCAATGGCGTGGCTCGCATCCACTCTGAGATCCTCAGGAAGACCATGTGAGCTCCGCTCTACGGACCCCGCCCCTCTCGCCAGACCACGCCCCTGTCACTTATAGACCCCGCCCCTCACCGTCTGGCACTGACCATTCATGGTTTCCTGCAGCTGGCCCCTTCCGCAGGTGGCATAGCTCTTACAAGCACCAATCCCCTTCCAGTACAGTCCTGTCCCGAGATGACCTGGTCTTACACACAGCACCCTTCACCTTCCCCAGGTCTGCAATTCCCCAGTCCAGGCCCCTTTCAGCAAGATACCAGGCTAGGGGCCCCAGGGAGGAGGCCTTCATCCCACAGGGGTGAGTGGCGACCCTCGTCCAACCCCCTCCCGCAGCTTCAAGGAGTTTTATGAGCTGGAGCCTCATAAGTTCCAGAATAAGACCAATGGCATCACCCCTCGGCGCTGGCTGGTTCTGTGTAACCCCGGGCTGGCAGAGGTCATTGCTGAGGTAAGAGGCCACTGTATGACCAGTAGAGTTAATACAGGTCACTGCAGGGATCAGCTGGGTATGGTGGGGAAAGTGGCTCACTGTACCAGGGCTCCCAGCCGAGGGCTGAAATCCATCTTGCCCTGCCTTCCCTTGCAGCTGCCCGGAGGAACGGGCAGCGCTTTCTTATTTTCGTGAGGATGCCCTATGGGCTAGTGGAGGCCCTGGCTTTGGAGGTGAACCTGGTGGGGTTCACAGTCCAATGGGGGTCATCCATGGGTCACATCTGGAGTGATACTGGAAGGGGAAGATGTCTGATAGAGGAGGTGTGAGGTCATGACAGCATGAGGAAAAGGCCAGGAAGCCAGGAAGCCCTGCAGGGGTCAGGTGGGGTCAGCCATAAGAGCTCAAGGATGGGAGAGGAGGAAGATGGCCAGGGATGCACCATGCCCCAGTCAGGAGACTGGAGAAGGAATGGGGAGGGTTTCCAGAGCAGTCTGCTGGGTGGAGGTGGCTTGGCTGACCTGGACAGGGACCCCCTGTGTCTGGAAGAAGAAGGATCGGGGGATGGTCTTGACTGAGAGCCCTCTTCCCACAGCGCATCGGGGAAGACTACATCTCAGACCTGGACCAGCTGCGCAAACTTCTCTCCTTCGTGGATGATGAAGCCTTTATCCGGGATGTGGCCAAAGTGAAACAGGTGGGGAGGGCTGCAACCTGGGACGGTGTGCCAGGGCTGGCACAGGGAGAGTGCTGGAGGTGCCAGATGTCTGGGTCAGGGATGGCAAATAGAGCTCATGTCTCCTGCCAGCCCCAGGCCGTTGACTGAAGTTGCCTGGAGTCTGAGGCATCATCTGATCTCAGGGGAAGAGTGCTGACATTGATTAGCAATGTCTGCCCTGGTGCAGGAGTGGATGAAGGTAGCAAGTGAGCCTCCTGTTATCTACCTTCCTGGGCCTGAGTGAATGGAAAGACATGAGGACTGTAGAATTTCCTGGAGCTGAGGCCTATTGGTGAGCCCTTCCCCTCTCCCCTGCCTCCAGGAAAACAAGTTGAAGTTCTCTGCGTACCTAGAGAGGGAGTACAAAGTTCACATCAACCCCAACTCGCTCTTTGACATCCAGGTGAAGCGGATTCATGAATATAAACGACAGCTCCTCAACTGCCTCCATGTCATCACCCTGTACAACCGTGAGTGGCAGGGACTCCACCCTGTCTCTCAGTTGTCCCCTCTGTGTACCTGTTAGCATAGCACATAATGCCTAATCAATATCTTCTTTGGCCTCATGACAACTCATGGGTCATGTAATTATCCTCATTTCACAGATGGGCAAACTGAGGCTCAGAGAGGGAAAAGTAACAGTCACATAGCAAGTGATTGTCCAAGTCAGGCCTGCTGTCTCCCAGCTCAGCTCTATCAGAAGCTACTACCCGGAGGGAACAAGCTGGCCAGCTTGATCCTTCTCTGTTCTCTGCAGGCATCAAGAAGGATCCCAACAAGTTTTTTGTGCCTCGGACTGTGATGATCGGAGGGAAGGTGAGAAGCCAGGGCCCACTCTGGGCCTCTGACATCCAGGTTGAGGCCAGCTTGGCTGGGTTGCAGGGTAGTGGGTACGGAGGGGATTGGCCTGTAGAGCTGACCCCAGACTGTGCCCCTACAGGCTGCGCCTGGGTACCACATGGCCAAGATGATCATTAAGCTCATTACAGCCATTGGGGATGTGGTCAACCACGACCCGGCAGTGGGAGACCGCCTCCGTGTGATCTTCTTGGAGAACTATCGAGTCTCACTGGCTGAGAAAGGTGGGTGCTGCCTATGGAGGCTCTGCGTAGTTCAGTCCCGGGAGGAGGCATTAGTCATCTTTTCCTGGAGTACCTGCACTTGAAAGAAGAATCTGGAGATGGCAATGCTTAAACCATGAGGATACCCCTCTAATGGTGGAATTTCAGGCAGTACAGGGTGAATTTCAGGCAGTACAAGGCAGATGGGCCTTGCTGGTGCCCTTCAAATCACACAGTGGAGGTAGGGGAATCCAGTTTGGACCCAGATGTTCAAGAATCAACCAGAGGTGGGCCGGGCGCGGTGGCTCACGCCTGTAATCCTAGCTCTCTGGGAGGCCGAGGCGGGCGGATTGTTTGAGCTCAGGAGTTCGAAACCAGCCTGATCAAGAGCGAGACCCCATCTCTACTAAAAATAGAAAGAAATTAATTGGACAACTAAAAACATATAGAAAAAATTAGCCGGGCATGGTGGCGCATGCCTGTAGTCCCAGCTACTCGGGAGGCTGAGGCAGGAGGATCGCTTGAGCCCAGGAGTGTGAGGTTGCTGTGAGCTAGGCTGATGCCACGGCACTCTAGCCGGGGCAACACAGGGAACATTTGTGCAAAAAAAAAAAAAAAAGAGAATCAACCAGAGGTGGAGAGCAGTGGGGGTGGTGTGTGAGAGGGAGACTTGGTTGGTGAAGGCTGGGGGAGCTCTGAGTCTGGCTATGCCTAGAGCCCCAGCTGGGGTACGGCTCTTCCCTGAGTTTCCTTGTCCCTCTGCTGCTGTCCCACAGTGATCCCGGCTGCTGACCTCTCGGAGCAGATCTCCACTGCGGGCACTGAGGCCTCAGGCACTGGCAACATGAAGTTCATGCTCAATGGAGCGCTGACCATTGGCACCATGGACGGGGCCAACGTGGAGATGGCGGAAGAGGCGGGAGAGGAGAACTTTTTCATCTTTGGCATGCGGGTGGAGGACGTGGAAAAGCTTGACCAGAGAGGGTAATGGGGGTCAAGGACCCAAAGGTCATGGTTCATGGGCAGGAGGCACTCAGCCTCCCGAGTAGTTGGGATTACAGGTTCTCACCGTCACGCTCAGCATGAACTGTGTTTATGATCACGATCACCATTGTAACTACTGTATTCATACTTCGCTTTTTGCCATGACTTCCAGGGAGCTAAGGACTTAACTTTACTTCCAGTTGCAAAACAATATTATCTCTTAGGGTTGATATAGTTTTCTCTTCCTTTTCCTCCAATTCTGTGTTATTTCTTTCCCATTTCATTAACCTTATTTCCTGTAAGCTCCCTCAAGACTTTTCCAGAATCCTGACGGCTGTAACTAAGACCTTGCACAGCCTGTGCCGGCCTTCCCAGGCATGCCTCTTGCTCCCAGCACTGCCCTCCAGCCTGGGCAACAGAGTGAGACCCCGCTCTGTTTATTCTAAAAAATAAACAAAACAGCAAAAACAAAAACCCATAGTTCTTCACAGGAGAAATGCCATTTTCCTGGCATTAAAAAAATTTATTTTTAAATATGATTTTTTCTTATTATAAAAGTAATACATGCTCACTAATTGGAAAAATACAAAACCAAAAACAAAATAACTGTCATCCATAATCTCATCGTCCAGATTTAAAGCCACAGTCCCCTTTTTAATGTGTGTTTATATATATTTTTTTGTGAATAATTTTTAAAAGTTGGGAACAATGTATGTACAATTTTGAGTCGTGATGTTTTATTTAACATTAGAGAGACATTTCCCATGTCATTAGTCTTCAAAAATCCTTTGAATGTTTGTATAGTGTTCCAGCCTATGAACATGTCACAACTTATTTGAACAATTCCATATGATTGGACATTAGGGTTGATTTCCTGTTCGTTAGTCTCAGTATCACTGTGCTGAGCAACCTTTTAACATCTACGTCCACATCTCTGATTATTTCCTCTAATTATTAGAAGGGGGATATTTTTGAGCCAAAAAGTATGAGTTCTTAAGACTGCTGACACAGATTGCCAATCTGCTTTCCAGAAAGTTTCTACCAGTTTACACTCCCACCAACAGCTTACGAGAGCTGGCATCCAATAGTGAAAGGAATTTCTCCTGTGAGGCTTGACTAGGAAGTTCAGACCTTGTCCTGCGCAATGTTTTGAGCAAGGTCCCACAAGTTCAGAACTGGGCTCCAGAACAGCTCTGGCTGTGGGAGGGAGGTTAGGCTGCGGAGGGCAGGGGGACCAGTGTGGGGGCTGACTGACACCGTAATGCAAGGAGAGTCGCCCAAATTGGGGCAGTGCAGGGGTGGGGATGGGAAGCTGTGGGGGAGTCCTTGGTTTCTGGTTGGAAGGGGACAGGGAGTGAAAGAGGTGAGACTGGCTTGTGGAGGGTTTCTAACCCAGGTGGGGGTGCTGAGGGTCAGGTGGACAGTCTGCGTTTAAGGAACATACCTGAGGATACACCTGTTGGCTCTTCCTGGAGCCCGAGGGCAAGGCCATGGCTGGACTAAAGCCATTCACAGAGGAAACAAACCGGCCAGGAGACGGGGGTGGTGTGTGGGAGGAAGAGCGCTTGTTTTGGGTCCTTGGCTGTAACACTTCCCTTTCTGTCCCCTCCAGGCCTCAGTTTCCTCATCCACAAAATGGGGGATGAAAAACTGAGCAAAGAAGGAATGGACCTGCCAAGGAAGGACCCTCAGAGGGGATGTGGCAGCCCCAGGGAGGGCAGCCACAGGCTGCGCCTGGGTTTCGACCCTGGGGCTTGGGACTTGCCAGATTTCCTGTGGTGGAGGAGTCAGGAACTCCTTACCAGGGAGCTGACCACAGCTCTGCCCGGTAGGTACAATGCCCAGGAGTACTACGACCGCATTCCCGAGCTTCGCCACATCATTGACCAGCTGAGCAGCGGCTTCTTCTCCCCGAAACAGCCCGACCTCTTCAAGGACATTGTCAACATGCTCATGCACCATGACCGGTGAGCTGGCTGGCCAGGGAGCCATGCGGCTGGGGCTGCTGGGCTGCACTGGGCTCGGGTGGGGGTGGGAAGGATGGACAGGAGTCCTGGGCAGTTGGGGCCAGGCTCCTTTGGAAGCGGCATCACTCTCCAGGTCCTAGCTGTCCACTGGGACACAAGATGGGCTTGGCCGGTGACTTCATAGGGCTTATCCTGTCCCTTTAAAGGGGATGGCTTATGCCCATCCTTTCCCCTCCAGGTTTAAAGTCTTTGCAGATTATGAAGACTACATTAAATGCCAGGAGAAAGTCAGTAACCTGTATAAGGTGAGGTGTGCTGGGTCAGAGGTTGGCAGGGCTTTGGTGGCCCTGACTGGGTAAAGTCAGAAGGTCCCCCCCACCCCAAAGTGAATCCAAAGCTTCCTTTGGCTTGTAGAACCCGAGAGAGTGGACGCGGATGGTGATCCGGAACATAGCCACCTCTGGCAAGTTCTCCAGCGACCGCACCATTGCCCAGTATGCCCGGGAGATCTGGGGTGTAGAGCCTTCCCGCCAGCGCCTGCCGGCCCCTGATGAGAAGATCTGAGCCTCCAGACCAGACCCCAAACCCTTGGCCCAGCCCCAGCTCCTCATGCAGAGGGAGGGGTACTGGAGTCAGATCTCTAAGCCCCTTTTTGGAACCCTCATTTTTGCCCAGCCTCCAGGCCCCAGTGTCCAGCGTAACTAAGGACACTAACCCTTCTGTCTTCAGGCTTTCTGTCCCCTCCTATTTATGGGGTCTGACCAACTGCACCCACTCCCCAATAAATCGACTCTTCTTGGGAGCCTCTTTATTCCTCTCTCTGTTGGGAAATATTTTTAGCTATTGGCGGGCACAACAGCAGCTGCGCAATCACCCCCTTATCCTCCACCCCCCCACCTTCCCCCGCAGGTGCATCCCAGGGGCGGGGGTAAGGGTGGGGGTGGGAGGTGGAAGGGGCGGCCCGTAGGGGCGGGCCCTGGGACTCTCCAGCCCCTTTTCCCAGCGTCACCCTCCACGCCTTTCTTCCCAGTGCTGTGTCCATACTAGGTCAGCGGCCAGCCCGGCTGGCCGGGGCGGGGCATCCGCCTGGGTGGGGCACCCGGATTGGGAGCTGGGACTTGGGCCGATGCCTACGGGACTACAGAGGATCCACGCGGTCAGGGACAGGAATGGGAGGCAACTGTAGACGCTTGGCGCCTTCTTGGCTCCGCCCTTAGCCCCGCCCCACTGCGGCGTTTAAGGGTCTCTTAGCAGGTGGCAATGCTTGATCCAAAGTCAGGGGAGTGTTAGGGCAGGGGACAGTCACAGACTGCCTAGGCTAGGCCAGTGTTACTTCCTCATTATGGGGAAACTGAGGATCAGAAAGGGCCTGTTCCTAGGTCTCACATTAACGAGATTGAGGTGTGGCCCCGAAGCAGGGAGGGGCAAGCCTCGGAAGGGAGGTTTGGGGTCGGTGGTTTCAAAGTGAGTGTGTCTGAACCCACATGGCCGGAAACCGTTGCCGGCTCTCCAAGGCCCGGCTAGTGGGGACCCCAACCGCCTGCGGCTGCCCCTCCCAAGTTCCTCCCTGCTGGGGCCCAGGCCTCCAGTCTCCAAGCTGCGGAGAACCCCCGGCCCCCACCGCCTGCGGCTGCCCCTTTTCATCTAGCCCTGTAGGGAGCCAGGCTTCCGGGGCTCCGTCCCTCCTGTACGAACTGGAGCCCCCCCGATCCCATCCCCCGACATCAAGGCCGCGTCTCCAGGTAGCCACGTTTTCATTCCTCGCTCCCTACAGGTCCCTCTCCCCCCAAAATGCTCCCATCTTGTCGTAGCCCCTCCCTCAGACTATCACAAGGACCCGCTGCCCCCCAAGCCCCAGACCTGCGCCAGGCCTGTGCCTCCTGCCGCCTGCAGGAAGACGCCCGGCTCGGGTTCGGGTTAGCCCCGTGGGAACGGTTTGTCTCGAAAACAGGAACCCGGGTTGGGGGCTGGGCGGGGCGCCCCTTCCCCACCGCAGTCCGCTTCCTGCCCCTCCCGGCTTCCTCCGCGCGACACCCAGGCAGGGTGAGGGGCACTAGTGCGTCCAGGGTGGGGGGAGGGGGCTCTTACTTTAGTTACCCCCTCCGCGTCCCTCGCGGCCTGCCCTCGGCTCGCCCACCCTCGGCGCAGCCAGTGGCGCAGCCCCCCGCCCGCGGCCCCGGCCCCCAGGGTGGCGCGGCAGGGGAGGGGTTAAGCTGCCGCAGGGACCGCCGCGTGCGGGGC